GTGTGTGTGTGTGTGTGTGTGTGTGTGTGTGTGTGTGTGTGTGTGTGTGTGTACAAAAATGATTTAGAATAACCGTTTGTCCTTAAAATGTCATATTCCTGAGACGATTCTAAAATGATTTTTTTCTCTACTAAATTGTTATCAGAAACTTAGTTTTTGAATTCTAAAGAAAAACATGAATTGAATTGGGTCGCGTAAAACAGAGGCAAAACGCTGAAATTGGGCACGGGCACCCGCGAGCGCCCGCGAGTGCCCGCCTATTGTGCATATCTCAGAAGCGTATCTAATATTTTTAGTATGGGATAAAGTTCCGCATTTCTAAATGAAACTTAATTTATGGATTAATCAATTTCAATCTGACAGTTGTTACATTTTTCAAATTTATTATCTGTTGCCATGCATATTCAAGATAAGCAATAGAAATGAAGAATATAAATTCACTTCAATTATTACATAATGAATTCGATTGTCGGTTTAGGGAAATGCATGTTTTAGAAGAAGACTTACTTATTTTTATAACACCTTTTACTGTTGATATTAATATTGTTCCCGCAGATATACAATTAGAATTAATAGATTTAAAATATGACACTGCTCTTAAAAATCGTTTTTATACAATGAGTAACATCATACAATTTTATTCATATATATCTCAAGAACGTTTTCCTTGACTACATGCTTGTGTTGCAAAAATAATGAGTATGTTCTATATATTCATGTGAACAATTATTTTCTATTATGAAATTAAATAAATCGCGATTACGCGAACAATTAATAAATTCACATTTGAATTTTGCAATAATTCGTTTAAGTTGCCAAAATGATAACACCTGATATAATATATCGTATATAATATCGGAAAACTATAAATTAAATACTAATTAAATGCTATAAGAGTTGTTTATTTAATATTTGTAAGAATTATTTATTTAAAATATAAATAGTTATTAATTTATGCTAATTTAAAATATTTCTGGGTCTGAAATTTATGCAACACAATATTTTTTTACTCCTTGAACAACACGTTCAATAAACAGACGTTCCTGCTCTCCTCACTTTATTGTGCCTAGCCGCCTAACGCTAGCCTCAGCGTGCTCGACTGTTGCCCGCGGGCATTGGGTGCCCGCGAGCAGTGCCCACTTGCCGACCTCTGTTTTACGTGAAACGTGATTTAATATTTTATGAAAATGGGTAGATGTTCCACAGAATTTTGTAATAATTCGTCATTGAAAGGATATATAATAAAAATATTTCCCAGAAATTCTAAACACGTGTTTACAATTGCACGTCGTGCAATATAGTCGAAAACTGTTGGCCGTAAAGATTGGATGCCTACAAATAATTCATATCTTTGTAAGATTAAGTATCATGTCATAATAATAACAAAATTATAACAAAATTATTATTAATAATTATTATTAATTTAATTAAAAGTGATGTTATGAATGTTATCTTTTATCTTTAATTTCTATATTGATATTTACTTTTATCTTATTGTATATAACCTCTATATTATATATCTTTTTTTTTCATTTTATCTATTATAATTTGTAAATTCCAAATACTAAAAATTACTATAATAATCTTGATTTTTAATTTTTGCTTTTTATAAAAATAATTATATAACAATTATGATTAAGTATTGTTTTTTTTGTTTTTATATATTATAGGTACATTTTTCATATTTATTATTTTGCTCCTGATATGTGGCAACAAAGGCCTGAAGGAAAAAAGAAATTAAACAAAGATGTTTAAATCTATGGCTGTATATATGTTTTTTAAATAAATTTTGTAAATTTAAAAGTGTTTTTAATTTTAATTATTTCCTACTTTTATATTTAATTATTTCCTACTTTTATTTAAATTTTATTTAAGATAAATTTTCTTTTAATTTTTAATAGAAAACATTAAATATAAAAAATTATTTTAAGATATAATCTAAATTAATATAAAAAACAAATTTTAAAGATTTTGTTTCATATTTATCATTAAATATTATTTATATTTCAAAAAATAGAGTCATTAAAATTTGAATTTAAGCGGGAATTAACGAAAATTATGGATCAATCAAAAGTGACACTCTCATGGCCAGTTTCTGATTAGAGGATCTCCAATTCGTTGTCTCCGGCTGACCCTTAAGGCGTAAGACATAAGAAATTGGCCAACTACAATCAATTCTTTGACTATATAAGTATGGACTGCCAGCGGCTAACTTCACACTTGTCAAAAAGAGGCGACATCAAATCAAGAACTAAATATTAAGTATAGTCCACAGTATAAGTAGATACAGTAGGTTTACTCTGCTCAATATCCGTGAAATGATTGTCACTTTCGCATGACAGAAATGCACACTCAACAATATGGCAGTTCAAAAGAATTGTAT